AATGATTTGGCCCCTGGGCCTCTTGTTTATTCAATTGACCAATCAATTACATTATTTACAGGGATTATTTTTCGTTGGTGATTAGAAATGGGAATAACTTCTCTCAGTGGGGTACACTTTTCCGTACAAGATCAGTAGAGCCCTGTTCAGAACAAAAACGCTCATCAAAGTCCAGAATTTCGCAATTCTAAAAAAAACACCCTTGATCATTACAACTTCGTACTCCCTTTTCCTTTTAAATGCCCAGATGCAGAGAAGATTTTCGAAGATAAATGCATTTTCATTATATAATAAATACAGCCGCACTCTAATACCATACCTCTGACACTGGGGCCTTGAATTTCACAATTTTTGATAAGGCACCCTTGTTTATAAAACCATGCTCTTAGTTCATTTGCTAATAACCTATATAAGTAATATACCACATCATAATACCAAAACCCCTAGGTCAGAGGCCTTGAATTTCCCAATTTTGGAAAAGACACCCTTGCTCATCGTAACCATCCACTTAGTTTTTCCTTAAAGGACATGTCGCATGCTCTTCAAGAAATCATATATTTATGAAAAACAACCCTGTTTATTAAAATACTGAATGCAATACTGAATACAATAAACGTTGTTGTAAGCATATTTTAAGCGAAATATAGAGTTGAAATTCCAATATTTCAGTCGGATTTAGGCGCCATACTGCTGTTACGTCATATGCGACAATTCAGTGATAGAGAAACTGCATAATTGTAGGAACGTTTTTAACGACAAATGCGAGATAATTTTAAAAAATCCTGAAAAAATCTTACGTGCTTTTCAATTACAATAGAAGTATGAACTTGTTCTAATTTAATAATAAACATTTATTAAAAAGTTGAAGTTATAAATACATTTATAAATGTATTATTAGCAAACTTCATTATGGGTAAACTGCAATGCTCAAATTCAGTTATCTTCTTCCGGAAGCATGATGCTACTTCCGGTAGTATTGACATAATTTTAAAACAGAAAGAGTAACATCACTATAAGGATAACTAGCATTAAATAAGCAAGCAAAGGTAGCATTCAAATCAGTAAGCAAGGGATTTTATAAGATCAGGATAAATAAGTCTCTTGCACTGTAGCAGAATATCCACTTAAGTGCCATTATGTGGCTTCTATCTCCATAAAAATCAAAAATAAAAAAAAAAGTAAATTGTATTTAATCATAAAAAATATTTTTTTTTTTAAATATAAAACATAAAACGAAAAGATAAAATTTGATTGCTTGTTCATTTAAGAGTATCCGCTCCTCAGCCAGGAACGACAACTCTTAAAATCATTATTTAATTTTATTTTTAAAAGTCTCAAAATTGTTTGAAAGTTTGAAATAGAAATCCTTTCGTGCAACAATTTTCATTTTTTCATATCAATAGGATTCAAGGTTCTTTGATGTCTTAGAAATGGTCTTGTAAAAAGCTGACATCTATACTACAAAAAGAAGAACCAATAGAAACGCATTTTAAGAAAAATCGAATTTCATTTAATCTTGTCTTAGATGCATATGTTTATGTAGGATATGAAATGAGAAGTGATCTGTGGTGTTTTGCAATGATTACATTAGCTTTATACACTATAATTATGTACTTAACAGTTGAAGTAAATAGAAGATCTTAAGTACGTATAAGTATGTACAAATTACAATTTTCTCCAAATGCTCGGGCTAAATTAAAAAGTACCTTTGTTTCCCCTACCGCGATCGACCCACTCAAATCATGCCGACTGAAAAGTTATTTTAGGTAGATTATTCAAATAAGTTTTTATTATTAATCATCTTTATAAAATACAATTTCAAAAAATTTAACACTTGTTCTACTCTGATTTGGCGCTCACAACATGTGGTTACAGAGAGTTAGTTTGTGTTATAGAACAACTGCTACATATCAATTTTATTATAATATATCTTTAACTTATTAGAATACTACACTCTTGAAACATTTCGTGAATTAAATATACCATGACTAAGGAGTGTTTCGATGGTATTTACAAATTTACAAACGTATTTACAAATGTGTCGTCAAAGATTAACGTACGTAGTAAGCATGACAAAGCCTGTCTCGTGAGCAGGTGAGGGGCCCATCTTGTGTATACTTACACATTGTATCAATAAATTTTACTGTATTTATCTAAAAACAGTTAATGTATGATCCTATTTTTAACTATATGGGACCATAGGAGTTGTAAATGTCTTTGTATAATTATTTCACCTTGATAAATATAATTAAGGCGCTGTTTCTTCATTCCTTTCATTTATGAGTTAAACTTCTTGACCATAACATTAGATATCATTTTTAGATGTGGTTTGGTTGAATTAACTTTTGTTTATGCATGTACGCTCATTCCAGATAGTGTTGAAATCTTTAAAACTGGCTTATGGTACGGACTCCTGAGACGTCCAGTGCATTTTTCTCTAGTTAGGCCTTTGAAAATGATGTAGTTTCTTTGCTTTAAATCCCTTTAAAAATTGTTGGATCGACACCATTTGAAAACCTGCCTGTTGGATGGCTCCTAATTTAACGAGGCCGAGTCTGATTACTTCTACCCTAGATATTTTGATAAAATTTCTTGAATGAATTTTTTCTATTATACTAATCATTTTAAGATTAAAAAAAATCAAATGATTACCATCCCGATTTCTTAGGGAGCCATCTCAAAAATTGTCAAATTTTACTATTGGACCCTATGGGAATTTGTTGGAAAAGCGCCAAATTATCACATTTTCCCCATACTTTTTGTATTTCTGCCCTAAGGATTTCCTTTTCAGTCAAATACATGAAAGTTATTTTGAAAAGGCACCAAATTGTGAAAACTCAAAAAAGTTCACAATCTGGTTTGGTCTAGGAGTTATTACAAAGTTTATTTTTTCCAATGCCCAATACCTCTAAATTTGCCATATCACGGCATACATTTTGTATATATCGGTGCAGATGAATTATTTTGGTAAAATATAACTATGTTTGGATTGATGGTATGTTCTGTCAACAGTTTTTAATAAAATTTCTATGGATGTCTTGAATACTCAAGCGAGTTATGCGTCATTCTTCAGCGTCATGCATTGCTTACAGAACCAGAAAACGTGACGTCTTGAAAGCCATTTCAGCGTTTATTCCTTGTCCTTAAAAACACATTTTAAGACCCATAAACGTTACAGATAATATAATATAATGTTAATTTGTATTAATATTACAATACTTATGATAGGTGTTATGTTGCAACTACGACTGCATGAAACTAAAAAGCTGCGCAAAGACATGTGCACTCAAATTAGACTCGGCCTCGTTAAACTTTTACTCGGCACTTATGGCATAAATAAGCATCAGTAAGGGATCTTTTTCGTACCAACATCTACATCTATACTGCGACACTGGACCTTTATGGTCTCATTGAACTGACCAGTCTCCACGGTCCACATCGGGACCTGTGACTTAATTAGAATGAGCTCCTAAATTACGTCGTGAATCTAAAACGAAACACTCTAGAATCATAGCACCACGCGAGGCCCTTGACATTTTGCCTTTGTTAGCACTTGAAGATGATAGTAGGTTTGAAAGTCCAATGGTCGAGTATTTGCGAATCTTGTCTTTTTGTAAATATTCGATTTCAATAAATTGACACTGGCCTGAGATATTTCACAAGTTCAAATGAATATTTGTGAATTAATTTACCATACATGTTGCTTTTAAATATCATTTGTATTATATTGGGTTTTAAATCGGTTTCTTCTGTTCTTTCTTATTTATAAAGATATCATTCAATTTTTCAGAATTTTTTTGTCAAAACTGCTGTCAGAAAAAAAACAATTTACTTACCTACCTACCCAACTTGAGATTTTAGGGTCGGGTTTGGGGAAACAAAGATATTTTTAATGATTGCTTCGGCTTAATATATTTTTCTATCCTAAAATATATTTGTTGATCAATTTTCAGTTAGAAAATGCATAGCCCCCTTACAAAAAAATACTATAGTTAACTATAAGTAAATCAAAGTGTCAACGTGATCACTATAGTAAATCAAAGTTTTCAAAGTGATCACTATAGTGTTATAGTGATCACTATGGCAAATCAAAGTTTTCAAAGTCATCACTATAGTGTCATAGTTATCACTATGGTAAATCAAAGTTTTCAAAGTTATCACTATAGTAAATCATAGTTTTCATAGTGATCATAAAGTAAATCGAAGTTTTCATAGTTATCACTTTAGTAAATCAAAGTGTCAAAGTGATCACTATAGTAAATCAAAGTTTCAAAATTATCACTATAGTAAATCAAAGTTTTCACCATAGTAAATCAAAGTTTTCATAGTGATCACTAAAGTAAATCAAAGTTTTCATAGTTATAACTTTCGTAAATCAAAGTGTCAAAGTTATCACTATAGTAAATCAAAGTGTCAAAGTTATTACTATGTTAAAAATCAAAGTTTTCATAGTGTCAAAGTTATCACTATAGATAACTATAGTTGACTATAGTTAACTGTAGTATTTTTTGTTAGGGCCGGTTCTTTTATTTGCATTCCTGCATACATATTTGAGATCTGATAATTTTCATTAATTATTAGGATGAAATTTGAAAAAAAAAAACACCATAGGTAAATACACATACTTTGGGAATTCAGAGACATTTTTTGAGCAATTTCTATTACTCGACTCCTTTCAGAACCCAAGGATCAGACTACTTAAAAAGATGTTATTTGATTGCTTTAATGAATAGAATATTATAAATGTATTCTACAGTATGAAAATAAATAGCACGAATTTCCAAAACATATACTGATTTAATCATTTAAGGGTGACATTTAATCGCCCGCCTTCTTGCGGCTGATAAAAAAACACAGTGGGTTTTAAAGCTAACGTTATTCAATTTAATATCTTATTTCAATGCTGGCTTTAAACGACTAATAAGTCCATGGTATTATTTTCACTTTAACGCCTTATAAAGTTGGATGTGTTTCCATATTGCAGTTGTCCTGAAAATAACCTTGCACAGATACTCCTGAGACAAAAGTGTTTATTACATTGTAGATGTCCTACAAATAACCTTGAGAAGACAATTCAAAGAAGAAAGGTATTTTTTCTTTCTGTTTTACCTAAGTAACATCTTTTTAAACTTCTAGTATTATTTACTTTTTACTTTGTTTCTTATTATTTTCCTTAAACGAAGTTTGGGAACACATTGCTTTAACTCTGTTTCTTCTTCTTCTCCTTCTTGTTATTCTGTTACTGTTTTTTTATCTTTTCTTTTTCTTATTAGTATTGTTCTTATTTTCTTACCAATTTTTTTCACGCAGTTCCTCGGAAACGATTCGATGAACATGAATTTTACAGGAGAGATACATCGTAATATAAACAAACCGATTGTTTTGCTTATTTTTATTTATTTATTTTTTTTTTTTTTTTTTTTTTTATTGTTTTATTTTTTTTTCTTAAATTCACTTCCGATCGCGCTGTTTTCGAAATGAGATTTTGTCCACCTTTTTTTTTTTTAAAAAAAAAGATTTACAGTTTAGTCTTGATTTTTTAAAGGATGATAGATCGTGACTCAAAGTTGTAACATAGGGGGTCAGTTTTTGTTGCTGTCACGTACGTTGTTCACTGGAAGTAGTTTTAAAATCCGCGTTTGGGGAATGTTTCTAATAGTGCAAAATAGGGTGTTTCAAATCATATTATTTTTCACCGGAAGTTGTTTCTTACAAACCGTAAAATTAGTTTTTTCTTCGAAACATTCAGGGATGATTCCTGAACGTTGAATGAGAAGTTTTACTTCCGGTGCATGAAAAAGAAACGCAAGATGTTTGAAATTGATACATCGCAGTTTTTTTTATGTGTTTCTAAACATATTCTGTAGAATTCATGTGCATACTTCTTTCTTCTATAGTTGTTCTTCCTTATATTATCTAATAAATTATCTCACTCAAGATCTTATCCCACCAGACGGAAGACCTACACGCAACGAGATCTCATCTTGTTGTTATTATGTTCCCCAAAAGAATTTTGGGAAAATTGTTTTTACCCTGTTTCTTCTTATTTTTTTTTCTGAGTGATCTCGGAAACTACTCATGCGATTAAGGTGAAACCTTTATAAATAGGCATGTTGTATAGATTTGCGAAACCAAGGTCATTTTGCGTGCACGTGCATGCACATAAAATGACTGATATACTTAATATTGTCTTTTTTTTTTCTTTTTTTTTTTTGATGAAATGCTTTGGAACTCAAAATGTATGAAGATATAATTACAGCGTAGACAAGATGACATGGTCAAGTTAGCATGAATTCACGCTGGAAGTGCTGGAATTTGATCGGCTGAAACTTTAAACGGCTTTATCTTCTTTAGTTTTCAACAAAACATGATGAAATTTAGCTAATAGTGTTAGTATCTATTAATTTCTCAATTGTTAACGAAAGAAGTTGAAATTCAGAGTATTTGTAAATAATACAAGTTCTTGCATTATTCAATCATCAGAAACGAATAGGAGGACATGGATGCACGTGTGCTGATTTCTGATTGTTTAATATTCATGCTGCTGTAACTTTCTATGTTTTCGGTGAATTCTTTTTTATCTAAAATGGAGCACTTTATTATTACATTCTATGAGATGGTAATTTTCGAAATGATGTGCATGCACGTGTACTTAATTATGATATGCTTGTGATCATTGTGCTATATGTGCATTGTTATTTTTTCAAAAGACTTCGGAAAATAAGTTGTAAAAGTTTATTATACCAAGATTTTACTTAATTTGATTAAGCTTATAGGAAATGGATCCGTATAAGGAGGAGGTTTGGGGAACATCTGAAACGGTCTCCGTAGATATTGTTTACTTTGCATTAGTCCGAGCTTTTTTTTTTATTTACGAGGGTTGTCCCAAAATTCCGTAGACTGGTCTCATATCTTTTCCAGAAATAAATATATCTTTATAAAATTTTCTGGGTGGATAAAGTGTGTTGTTGACTGATAATTTACGGAGTTTTAACAAGATTACATGAAAACAATTCGAGTAATAAGAATTATAGTGCTATCGTTCCTCAAAAAAGTTAAAAGGTCACCGGTTCAGATTTGTGGGGAGAATACATTTATTACCAGAATGAAATTCTATAATTCATCATGAAGATTATAGATATAAATGTGGATTATGTTAATCATTATGAAATGATTTAACATGAAAATGTGTGAACAAAGTATGTACATGTACCTGCATCAAAAAATAATATTTTGAAAAACTCATGTTTCTACGGGTATATCATTTGTCTAAAGGAGTTGTAAAGTGTCACTCTTGCCCGATTCTTCAACCGGTCTCTCTTTTTAGTTTCCCTCCTTAACATACTTAGAAAACTGTTTCATTCATTTTCATTTACTAAGGACCAGAAAATATTTCCAGGTGCAACAAACATTTATGACTTAAGCGTTTCTGTAGGAGTGAATTAAAGATCAGAACAATTGATCACAGTCCAGTGCGCCGCCTTTGTCAAAACAGCCGCCATTTTTTAACACGTCAGATTTCAAACTGGTGGATATTAAATGTTATAAAATTCATATTAATTAAAATGTATACACCAAAATTTGAGGAAAGGTTATTAACAATGCAATATTAAGATTTTTTTTATTTTTATTTTCGAAATTCTTAGAAGTAAATACTTTTTAGTATGATTTTAAACATTGTATACCGATTTTTCATTGCAAGTTGTTGGTACTGCGCCGCCTTCCTACACCAGACAATGAAATATTTCATTTAAAAAGGGTTAATCTGTATAATTACTCAATATTTGTCCATAAATTTATCAGTTATTGTTGGTTTAATCCATGTACAAAGTTTCATTCATATATGACACCAAGTTCCTTCAGAATAACACTTGTCTACGGAATTTTGGGACAACCCTCGTATTTATTTTCTTTAATTCTACTTCATTCAATTTATTTATTTCAAAGAGATAAATAGTTATATATTTTTTCATGTCTTTTACCCATTACCAATAATATATTAATTTGTAGAAAATATTTTTCATTTGTTATAATTTTGCATTTAATCAACCTATATCGTTTTATACATGTAAGTCATAAGATTTTTTCACTAAATAGTTAAATGCAAAATAGATCAATTATTTTAATGACTATTTTATTGAGTATATTACAAAATTAAAAAAATGATTTAAAAAACAGATATAAGAAATCATTGCAGTATTGGTATTCTTCCTGTACGGTTGCCTTAAGCATACCATTGACAAGTCATACATTCTTGTTCCCTAGATACCCCCACCCCCCCCCCCCCTTTTACATTTTAAATGCATAATTTTATATTATCTATTTTGAAACAATTTTTCTTTGATAGGAATGGTATTTACTTAAATTGAAGTCGATGGTGTGAGTTATAAAATATCCAGAGTGCTTCTTGATTTTTTTTAAATTTAATCATGGAATTTCAATTTTTGTTTCCGTCGAAAGTAGAGGTATAACATTGGTATCTGCCTCCCCTTTCCTGGTTTCAACATCACCTTCTGAACTATCAAAACCAGTAGAAGGTCGATCAGTTTCTTTAAAAATGGTTTGATGTGTCATAATTTGAAGATCCCGTGAATTATAATCACCGTTTTGGTTCTTCTGGCCGTTGTTGCTCATTTTCATTTTTCTGATGAAAACGATTAATACAGTAATTAGTAGTACTAATATGATAGTTAGTATGATAAGTACTACTACAAGTATTGTAATACTTGTCACTGAATCACTCAGAGAATCAATCTTCTCGTTCAGCCCTCGAATGTTCTTTTCATAAAATTCGGGTTCTTCAGTGACGTTAATCATGTTAGACCGGACTGAATGGTTGTTACTGTCCCATTTTTTAAGGAAATGTAGGAGAGGCATTTTAGGGAAAAGATCTGTAAAATAAAAAAGAATTTTAGGAATTCATATGTTAAATTTATTCCATATATTAAGTCAAGTTATATACATTATGAAATACATGTAGATTTACTGCATTCTTCTAACGCTCTTTCTTCAACCTTTAATTTTTTTTCAAAATATTTAAGTACAGGTTTTCATTGAGTTAGCTTAGGTTAAACCAGCAAATATTGTGATATAAAACGTATTTGTAATCTTTTCAAACTTAGCCTTTTCAAAATGCACGTTACTACGTTACAGTTGGAAAATTTAACGTCAGGAGTACTCGGTCAAGACTGTGACGTCACACGGTCGTCATATTTAGTTTCATTTCCATTACGAAGTGAACTCTAATGGCAACGTTTTCGAATGGAGGAATTCTACACATTGTTCAAAGAATTTTTTATCACTCCACGTGAAAAAATCCTAAAACTTCCAGTGTTTTTCTGCACATAGCATTATTATGTCTAAAGCATAGCAAAGATTTACTTGAAATGATTTTAAAAAGAAGTTTATGGATTCTACTGACATAAACAACACATGCATCATCAATAAATATGATTGTATATGTATTGTATATCATTTTTGTTACTAAAATCGTGTCGGGATTTGCGAATTTGCCGGCATCGATCGAAAATTATTTTCGAAATTCACTTTGTGAATCGACAAAGTTTCAGGACATTTTATCAGATTTTTTTTATTTGTCATGATATAAAAACCAAATAGAAATCAAGTGGAAAAAATCGTTACAATTGCAGGAAAGGCTACAGGAGTTTCCTGAAAGATCATGACGTCATTTGTAGTCTGCAAAATGACATTTTAGAGTTGTAGATTTTTTTTTATTTAATACACAAAGGAAAATGTGTTCGCCGAGTACGCTAGGGAGTATTATCGAAGAGCTTTATATCCAATCTTAAGCTATTTCGATTAAAGTTTTGTTTTTCGTTATGAACTTTTCGATGGTTATCGCGAGAAAGTAATTCAGGCAGCCATTTTCAGCTTCCAGGGAACTGTTGGTATCATCTTTATTCTGCAAAAATAACTCAGCTAGATAACTTTGCTCTCAGCATAAGTTTTCCGTAGATTTTACCATTCGCTATTATTTCAGCATTTTGGCACTTTCTTCCACATCCTTTTTTAAAGGATGAATTGTCATAACTTATGTCAGAGGCTCCTTTTTTCTACCACAAATTCTCATAAACCTACAATGATCTTAATAGTTTGTTTTCAAACAAGAGTAAATAAAAATGACGCCTATGAACAGTTCTCAATAGATTGGATTAATAGTTATAAGAAAATTGCTTTATCGTTTTTTGTGTGTGTTTTTTTTTTTTTTTTGGTTTTTTTTTTTTTTTTTTTTTTTTTTTTTTTTTTTTGGTTTTTTTTTTTTTTTTTTTTTTGGTTTTTTTTTTTTTTTTGGTTTTTTTTTTTTTTTTTTTTTTGGTTTTTTTTTTTTTGGTTTTTTTTTTTTTTTTTTTTTTTTTGGTTTTTTTTTTGGGGTTTTTTTTTGTGTGTTTTTTTTTTTTTTTTTTGTTTTGTTTTTTTTTTTTTTGTTTTGTTTTCTTTTTTTTTTTTTTTTTTTTTTTTTTTTTTTGTTTTGTTTTTTGTTTTTGTTTTTGTTTTTGTTTGTTTTTTTGTTTTTTTTTTGTTTTGTTTTTTGTTTTTTGTTTTGTTTTTTGTTTTGTTTTTGTTTTTTTTGGTTTTTTTGTTTTATTTGTTTTTGACCCTAGTTTGCGACCATTTGTTGTTCAATGAATAAAGCTGAAAAGAATTTAATTTAAACAATATTTTATTCACAGCAATGAATAGGACTGGGCAGCAGGCACAGCCTATTTTAGCCCTCTCCCTACAAGCTGAAAAGAATGGGTGAGTCTTTGTACAATAGAGGGATATTCATGTCAAGACAAGATGTTTTCATATCACGTGACAATGTTTACCAGTCGAAAATCAAAGTACAGATGTATTCTTGGGAGTTGAACACCTCAAGCAATCAGTTAATTATCAAAATACGGTAATGTAGTTTAAGTAAATGATTATCATTTTATTATAAGCAACAATTAACAAATCTATTGTTTGATAATCTACTTATATAAAGGAAGCTAAAATCGTAATGAACTGAAAAGTAGGGTCTACTACATGTGAGAAGAATGTAAACCACGTGATACACGTACTAAAAATAGTAAAGTGTATTCATCTGGACAGGTGATGTATTTTATGAGCTTTTTAAAGTTAAGGGGGGTTAAAAATGAATGGGAATTGGATGTACAGTGTAAACTGTACACCTACCTGAAATTAAGTTATATATCTTAAATATGATCTTCTTATTTTCGATAAAATTGGTATTCAACGGTGGTACATATATCAAAGATTTAGTATATGCAAAAATTAGAGTAAAATTCGTATATTCATTTTTTGTCAATCTACCGAGAGCCTGTTTGGCAACATAGTACAACATAGTACAACATACTTCTCCAGTTATGTTACAAATTAATGCATAACAGACCTATCACCCCAGAAATACCGGTTAATAATAATTTATATTCCGACTCTGTAATTATATTCCTTTTACATGAAGAATGGGTGAGCTTCAAAATTCTTTCTTTAAGGTTTGCAGGTATTATTTTGACTTTCTTAAACTTAAAAAGTGAAGACATATCTCTGTATAGATGTCTATTGAACAGAATCTAGAAAAGAATATTTTTGAACATTTTCAGTAAACAATCCTTCCGCCAAATAAATTCACATTCAAAAAAGATGAACAAAACAATAGTTCTGGAAGTAAGAATATTTTTCCAAAACAACGCTAGTACAAATAAAGCAAACAATGAAGGACAAGAATTTAAATTTACGCAGTAATAGAATGTTTAATTTTTTTTAACTTAACTTTACAGTTAAATGCACGGTAAGATACATATTGAAATGTGTCTAAATGGAATAAAACATATATACTTACATTGTAGGCTGTAATACTATATTATCTTTCAAATTCTAGATTAAAAAAACAGAAAAATGGTTCAAATATATCGAAACCTCTTAGTTGGCTGATACACGTATTGCTTTTTGTCAACTGAGCATTCACATTCATGAAAGGTACTACAAAGGGTGCATTAACGTGTTACTAAAACGTGGAAAAGGAAAGTAGCTTAATATAGTGAAAAAATGGCTAAACTGAATATCAAATGATAAAATTATCATTTATCGATCAAAAATAAACTGATGTTTGCGAAGAAACTTCTTTTTTTATCGACTGTCAATGTACAAGAGTGTCAGGTGTTCCCTGCCAAAAACGTAGGTAGTTATGGTGCTGCTATAGCTTAATGTTGGAGGTGCACTGGTGATATTTAACATCATCTGCATGCAAATTTTGTCGAAATGAAATGAAAAAATATTCTGAAATAAAGCGAAAGAAACGATTGAATGAATCGTAGAGCTTTTTTGACAAGAATTGGTATGAAATGGCAAGTAGATATGGTACACCTGCATATCAGATTTTGGATGGAAATGAACTGTTTTAACAGAAGCGAATATTGCCGAGCGAAGTCCCATAAAATAAGGTATCTTCAATATTTTAGATTAAACATGCATATATGCTTGTTTAAAAAAGCGTAGCTTCTCAAGTTGTAAATTAAGTATAATAGATACTGATATTTATCCTTCATTGGACCTCAACTCTTAACAATTTCCAGTTTTTCTTTTATTTCCCTCAAAAATGTTTAATCAGAGTATTAATAAAATACGATGTATTTTAAATATAGAGTGAAAATGCACCCTAAATCTTCAGAGTGCAAAACTGGGAAGTGTTTAGAAAGAATCATTCAACATGTGTGCAATTGAATTTCTATATAAGAGTACAGCTTCTTCAAAGAATGCATTTGAAACACATTATTACAGTCTGATCATATGCCTAATTGATATTCTTTTCATCTTGCTTTCCGTTCCCTCCCTTTTCCGTTCCACGTTTTAGTAAGATCCAAATGCAAACTATTGTGGTTTTCAAGTTTTTGGGGTCCATGGTTATTCAGAAGTAATTTTTAACAGAAATCGCAACCTGATCCATAAGGACTTTTCATATATTTATATGACAGAGAATTTAGCTGTTTATTAATCTCATTTTAGTATGAAAGATGAAGACGAAAAATATTCATAATCAATAAGAAAGGTGAAGATACCAATGTTGATCGATCTCAGAAACACCTACAAACAAAACAAAGTAAACAGTGTATAATACACGGAACCACCCAAATTCTAGAGGTGGGATAATTTAGCTAGTAGGAGTAAGCGTCAACGGTCACACCCATCATGTACTCTTTGTCAGGTAAATGGAAAAATCCGTAGACAATTAAATATGAAAATTATGACTTAATAGTTCGCATGAAAGATGTCAACATTCGATTTAACGATAAAGTGTATATGAGAATTTTTAACAAGGCCATCGTTGCTATCTGTTTTTGTCCGTCGTGTGACGTGCTTCGGTCGTCAATTTATTTAACATTTTCAGCTTCTTCTCTTAAACTTCTGAAACAATTTCAACCAATTTTGGCACATACCATCAACGGGTAAAGGGGTACAATAATTGTGAATTTCATGGTCCCTGCCCCCCCCCCCTTGGTCAAGGGTTCTGGTGTTATGGCGGGGCTCTATTTTTTATTGATTATATGGTGAAAATGCATCAATTCTTTGAAAATCTTCTTCTCTGCTCCCGTGTATTAAACAAATAAACTAAGTGCTTAGCCGTGGTAAGCAAGAGTGCTTCTTTTAAAATTGTGAAATTTGTTGCCCCTGGGTCAGGGATCTGATGTTGGTGGGGGGAGACTCTATTGATTGTATAGTATAAGTGCATTATTTCTTTCAAAATCTTCTTTTCTGTTCCCGGGTATTAAGCAAACAAAGTAAGTGTATATTTATGATGAGTAAGGGTGCCTCTTCCAAAATTATGAATTTCATGGTCCCTGGGTCAGGGGCTCTGGTTTTAGGGTAGGGCTCCACTGATAATATAGTAAAATGCATTAATTCTTTGAAAACCCTCTTCTCTGTTCCTGGGTATTTAGTAGAAAAACTATGTGCATGAAAATGATAAGCAGGTTTGACTCTTCCAAATTTGTTATTTTCATGGCCCCTGGGTCAGGGGTTCTTGTGGTAGGGCACGGCTCTATAGATCAGGTACTGAAAACGCATAAATTCTTTAAATATCTTCGTTTTGCCCCAGGGTAATGATAAGCAGGTTTGACTCTTCCAAATTTGTTATTTTCATGGCCCCTGGGTCAGGGGTTCTTGTGGTAGGGCACGGCTCTATAGATCAGGTACTGAAAACGCATAAATTCTTTAAATATCTTCGTTTTGCCCCAGGGTATTTAGCAGACAAATTAATTGCAAAGTTAAGCAAGGAAGCTTCTTCCAGAATTATGAAATTCATAGCCCTGGGTCAGGAGTTTTGGTGTTAGGGTGGGGCTCTGTTGAATATATCGTGAAAAAGCATTATTTCTTTGAAAAGCTTCTTTTCTGTCCCTGGGTATTTCACAAATATACTTAGTACATATTTATATTGAGCAAGGGTGCCACTTCCAAAAATGTGAATTTCTCGGCCCCTGGGAGTAGGGCCTCTGGTGCAAGGATGAGGTTCTTATAATTTTTAGCTCTTCTGAGCCAAAAGCTTAAAGAGCTAGAGCTAATGCTTCGGCCATTTGTGCGGTGTGTGTAATCTTTTTAGAATATTGGCTATATCTCAAGAACCCCTTGGCCAGTTTTTGTCAAATTCATAACTGAGTATCCTTGGCCAAAGGGCTCTCCTTTGTACTTAAACCAGTGATATGGCCCTTAAACAAGGGGAGATAATTAGGAAAATAAAAGCAAAAGTACTGGTGGCTGAAAAACCATCTTCTCAAGAGCCACTGGGCAGATTATCACTAAACTTACACACAAGGATGAGATGTTGTAGATTAAAAATTGTTTAAGCATCACCGTGGTGTAAAAGGCGTTGTGTTAAGGTCACTTTAAAGTTGACCAAAACTGATGTTTCATTAAAACTTTGATATTTTGCTTACTATAAGGACCAGGACCATCAAATCTTGTCAGTTGATGCATCTTAGGACCTCATATCATATTGACTCAAAAGTATGTCACAGTGACCTTCTTTTTGAATTCTGCATGTTTTCATTTTCAATTCATTTTGATGCATATCTTGGAAATTATGAAACCTATGATCATTAACACTTTTCAGTTTATGTATTATGGCTAATCATTTTCAAAACATTTAAGGTCATTATTTCAAATACGTATACTAAGAGGTTAAGAATCATCAAATCTCGTAAATTGATGCATCATGGGGACTTTAAACATATTTATTAAAAAGTACGTCACAGCTTTATTCAAATATTTCAGATACTAATTGGCTTTCAATCATCAGATTTTGCCAGTTGATGATTTTTGAAGCCTCAGAGTGTGTCAACTTAAAAGTTGGTCACAGTGACCTACTTTTGAATTTCTTAAGGCAAATTTTTAAATATTTCTAATAAAAGACTTAAAATCATTAAACGTTGTCAGTTGATGCATTTTTGGGTCCTCGGGATATGTTCACGAAAATGTAGATCACCATCACCTACTTTTGAAATTTCATGGCTTTATCTGGATATATAAGATAATAAGGGGCCTCATATCACCAAACTTTTTCAGTTATCTTGGGTTCTCTGAGTATTTTAACCAAAATGTAGGTCACAATGACCTTTTTTGAATTAAGGCTTTATCCAAATATATTGGATACTTAAAGGCTTCAAACAGAAGTGGTTGTTTGAACAATTTATCAGAAGAAGCGATTCAAGACCCTTTGGCCTCTTGTCAGACTACAAGGTATTACCTTGTCCATCTGTTTGTGCAATCCTATCCAGTAACTTATTACTGGATAATCATTTGAAGCTTATACTTGACCCAGCGATTAAGACCCCAGAGTATGTCTTGGTCTTGTACAAGGTCATTTTGGCAAGTTCAACATCAATGACAGTAAAAGTATAGTATTAATGTCTGGGCTATAACTTTGTAATAATCATTGGAAACTCATACTTGGTAGAAAGATTATTTATGAACTTGAGGGTGTGTCATGACCTTGACCAAGTGTCATTTCGGGAAGATCAAAGTCACTGGCATAAAAAGCAAAAAATTCTTGTTTAGGCTACAACTTTGTAATGGAGAATCATTCGAAGCTCATATTCGATACCAAAGATTGTTTATGACCTGAGTTTGTGCAGTAACCTTGAACCAAGTTCATTGTGGCAAATTCAAGGTCATTGGTATAAAAGTGTTAAATTCATGACAGGTCTATAATTTTCTAACCGAGAAACATTGGATGTTCAAATTTCACTAAAAGATGACTTATGACCAGAGGATATGTCATATTTTTAAAAAAGGTCTTTTTGGCAAGTTCAAGGTCACATTTACAAAATTTGAATGGGCAAATTTTAAAAAAGAAAGGTTGCGGGGGTATTTATAATATCGCTCACAGTACCTTTAGAATTATACTTCTATGGATCATTTACAATGTTGTATTATAATCGGGTATCTGTTAAAGACATTTAACCTTTTGTCATGTAGAAATATTTGAATACATTCTTCTTCATAAGAATAAAAGAACATGTTAGCTAATAATTGGACACAATTAAAAGTAATATGCAATGCATGAAAACACTAAAAAATGAACTCAATACATCAACTTTTATCAGCTGACTTTTTTCTTAATTTGACGAAACTCATATTTGTGACGTTCTCAAAATAATTAATTTTTTTCTGATTCAAACTGAATAATTATGTCTCTTTTTAGAAGACTGAAGTCCTTCAAACAACTCAGCATCTTAGTGAAGTACAAAGGTTGGAGCCGCTGTCATTGTCAGCATGTTGATCAGTATTGCTACCGTTTGGTGGACAGGAAAAATTCATTGGAAGTGATAGATGGGCTTTTAGCGGTTTAGGTTAAGAACAGAATCAGTTTTATGTTTGATCAACCTTTGCGTGCCATTCCGAATGTGTAAACCTTACGATCGTACGTTCTGGCACTTAGAATCGATTTTGAAAAGAGGGGGACAGCCAGAAAAAAAATAACTAAATTAGCTGAAAAACTTTGACAAAAAGGGTAATTGTCCAAACTCCAAGATCCTATTCGTTAGGTGCCTGGAGGAGGGTAGATTACAATTTTACTAAATAATTACCAGATAATCATGATTTAACTATATTTCAACAAAAGGGGGCCAGCCTTTGAATGAATACTTTCAATAGTAAGAATGTTTGTTGGATAAAAATGAGCAAGACAAAGTTTATGAGACAATACATTGCCTTATTTAGATAATGTTTTAATTCATTACATACATGTGTTTATAACTAATTTTTTTCATATGATTTATTTTTTGTAATTTAATTAAAGGAGATGGCAGAATGGATAGCCCTGGTCACACTGCTCAGTAGTGCTCCTACACATATTTATACAATGTTACATTGAATTTCTTAATTTGAATGTTAAAAAGTATTAATAAATATGAACTCATTCCGGACCTCTGTGAAACACATACGCTCTGTCTGGTATAAGAGAACTATACTAGTTTATTATATCAACAAAATAAAGCTTTAAAAATATACATATTACTGAAAAGTATTTATAAAAAAAAACATATTTTAATTTGGCTTAAACATTAATTTGTTCTTTTAATACTTTATATTTCTTTAAAGGCCCAAAAACAGTCCAGTAAGTTACCTGTAAGTGTCCAATGAGTTAAAAATTCTGTCCATTATTAAAATAATGGACAGTATTGGACGGCTACAGGTAAGTTATTGGATAAAGAACAAACAACAAAGACACAAATACATTTTTTAAAGTAATGAACCCAACATGTTTCACAATGTTATGAAATAAATATTCCACGTCACAGAAACAAAAACTGAAACTTTGTTCCAATAAATGATGAAATATATATTCCAAAACACAATGAATGTCAAAACTGAAATTTGAAGGAGATGTCTCCAAATTTTATATAAAAAATGTCTTGTCAATAGTTTTTGCCCGATTCGTTTCTCACTTCAGCGATGAAAAAGCTTATAATTTTGCTGATTTTTTTTATCACGCAACATCTTGATGACCTTAAGCATGAAAAACATCAACATTGGGTACTGTGTAATATTCCCTTTGTCAGTTAAAGATCACAGTCACTGCCCATATACATTTCTCCGTTTTCTGCGATAAGTCTCTTCTAAATCGTCTTTAAAAATATTGTTGATTTCATTACGGAAGTCTTCCTACGTTCCCCTTGTTTTTCTGCATCCTAGAATAGCCTTGACCAAAAGTTGAGAAATATTTTTAAAAACGTCCACTTTGAGTTCAAAGTTCTTTTTTTTTTTTTTTTTTTTTTTTGACAATCATAAGCTCAAAATCCAAAATATCACTTGAGAATGACTTCTTATATCCTTAATAGATTGGTCATCATATCTGAATTTTTTTGCATCAAAAATAGAAGAAGACATCCTATTACAGTTACTTAAAAAATAATACTTACCTGTAACTGTCCACTAAGTAAACAATTACAATGAATGTTAGTTTCTTTTGATTGTCAACAACCTTTACCTGATGCAGTGAAATAAGTAGCCAATGCTTACTAATACAATGGATGAGAAACAATTCTATGAGAGTACATTATGAACACAATAGAGTAAATGTTTTAAGTAGATTATAGGCCGAAAACTGTCCATTCTGTCAGATTAAAGAACTTTTGTCGGGCCTAACGACCCTCCAACATTTCTTTCTTCTCACAGAATGGACAGTTTTCGGCCTATAACCTTTACATATTCGAAGTATTTTTTCTTACGCATCGTTCGTGGGATGAGCTTTTTAAATAGCCGATTCATTTTTTTTTCTTTTTCTTGCTTATTTCCAGCTTGGAAAAGCAAATCCATAAATTAAAACAATTTTAAACAATTTTGAATCCCATTTATAAATGCAAGTATGCCCATGACTTAACTTGAAATTGGTTGTGAAAAGTTTATACACTAGCAATTAGACAGACGGATAGACACACAAGTGGGCGGGCGCTGGAAAACGGGGAATCACATAGCTCATTTCAAAGTAGCTAAGGTAAATACATGTACATGTAACATACGCTATATGAATGGAATTTTTAGCTAGGCGCAAATTAAGCGATCTTTATTTAAAAATCGCTATTTAATTTTAGCGAGAAGTGTAATTTTAGCGATGTTGTGATGCCTTGAAAGATAACAGTAATCTCAAATCTGGGAATAAATATTTAGCGATATTTAATTTTAGCAATCTCAATAACTTCGCTTAAAATGCCAAATTTCAATCATCGTTAAAATTTCTGCTTATATGGTATGTATTTGTTACAGCTGAAGTCAAAATAGTGTTTTTAACTGTCCATCCCCCACTCTCTGTATTTTGATTACAGTTAACCTGGAACCCATAGCCTTTCTATGGGTAAATTGTGTACTCCTTACCTTCAATATAGCCAGCAACAGGCCATAACAGTCGTTTGGATAAAATACATATCTGTTCGACGAAATGAAAAAAAAAAATAAATAAATACTTCTCAAAGGAATCGGTATGTAATCAATATATAAACAAAACTGAATTAAACAATCTAGTGATAGAAAAAGCCACCCCCTATACACTAATCAAAAGTTTTTGGACATTCAGAAAATCATAGAGGTGTAAGTACTGAGCCTAGCTATTTCATTTTAAACATAGGAAACTTGTCATTTACCCTCAGGAGAACAATTTCAAAGACAACATAGCATTGATGAACACAGATCACTGCTGCTTATTTAGAATGGGATAATACATGCAAATAAAGTGTTCAATTAATTTATCTTGGCCTGATGAAATGCCGATGAATTACAGATTAATTCAATATAAGATCTAGGGGCAGATCACTCTAACTGTAAAAATTACCAAGGAATTTGAATTTTTTGGGCAGTGTATTAAGGGTCGTTAATTCTTTTACTCTCTCTCTCTCTCTCTCTCTCTCTCTCTCTCTCTCTCTCTCTCTCTCTCTCGCCCCAACACTGTTTCATTTTGATTTCTCTGAATTCCTCCTGTTGTCTTAGTCTCCCGTTCGTTGCAGTTAGCTACCTTAAGTTTGACAAGTTGTGAGGCAAGGTTCAGATTTTTTACGAAGGAAACTTATTTCCAACAATTATTGATCTGTTTGTTTAGCTTTAGTTTTAACTTTTATACATATAGTTTGAATTAAAGTCGGCATCAGAAACAGTGCAAATAATAAGAAATTCATCTGCTCATCTTCTGTGTATATATGTTCTGTATATATTCTGTATATATATATTTGTTTGTATATATATATATATATATATATATATATATATATATATATATATATATATATATATATATATATATATATATATATATATATATATATATATATATATATATATTAAAGAATGAAAAAATTGATTCAGTTTAGAAAGTTTAAAAAGACATTGTTAGTTGACTTATGTGCATTATTCATAAGAGACTCTTGAATTGATAAAGTGTCGGAAAGAATTCCAATGATTTACATGAAATATCGTTATATATTTTTTTCTGAGGAAAACTGGCGAAGTCAAATGGGGTGAGATAAATGGTAACTCTTTACCTTCCCAGTAACATTTCCAGCTGATGGCGGTATTTTGAAGAAAATATATCTGACACATCTTTGCGTAAATATAACTTCATTATACATGTACCACCAATTTGTGAACAATTTTCGGTCTATACATTACATTCGTGACTGAAAGACTGGTTGGTAGTGCTATGGAATTTCCTTCATTTGCCTATTAATAATGGAAGCACACTGCATGGTTCTATCCTGAGTCTTATGAGCATCTTTAAACAATATGAAATTTGTATGATATACATGTAAACTTATAATAATAACAAATAGGAATGTGTAGGATAGATAAACTTGGTTAAAGTTCGCTTGCGCCTTTCGCTAAAGAGAATGCAAAATCCTCATGGATAATATTCAGTATCTTCTTCAACCAGATTTGTTATTCAGAACAAAATGCAGCTTACCAAATACAATCAGCCGAGTTCGAGATTTGGGACAGCAAAAGCTCTTTAACAGAAACTCGATCTTTCATGAGATCATATGGAAATTATTATTGTTTCAAAACGTTCATTATATTTTACTTATATAAGGATACCGGGAATGTACTAGTTGCAGAAGGCTTAAATCAGATGATACTGCGATGCGATTCCTTTGAAGGATAAAATGTTGAAAGGAACGATATTTATCAAAGAATCAAAGTACTGAAAGTACTGATGGGAGTTGATTTTAATGACGGTTTCAATAAAATTCATATTATGTAATCTTGTTCACAACTTTTCAAATTATGTACAACATTAATGATTCATAATTTGGTATATGAAAAGCAAATGACTAAGAGGATATCACGATTCTACACAGTCAAAAAGGTAGGGTTTATTCTAATTTGACAATAACTTTAAAACGATATGTGACAACGTGTTAGATTTTCTCCTCTGCTGAAATTTTTTCCAGTTATTTAAGGTATTTTTCCTGACCAAAAGTTCGTTTAAAAGTGCTGTAGCAACTAAGCTTTTCGTCAGAATTTGATACAAGTTGTGAATTCCATTCCTTTATACAATATATGAATAATCAATTTTTAAGTGCATTTTTGAATTTACATATGGAGAAGTCGCCCGTGTGACGCAGTGGTTAGAGCATCTGCTCTAGAGTAGCGGAGTAAGGAGCTCGAATCCACTGTGGGACGTGGAGACCGGTCCTTCTGATGAGACTGTATAAAAAGAGGTCCCTAAGGCAGTAGGTGTAGGCACGAAAAAGATCCCTCATTGCTCAATGGCCCTTAGTGCTGAGTATAGGTCTAAATTTGCGGCCATCCATCGGCAAGTGGTGGCGTCTCCATATGAGTGAAAAATTCTTGAGAGGGACGTTAAACTACAAACAAACAAACATATGGAGAAATTGTGTACGTTTTGCTAATTTGCATAGTGGCCATATTGTTTTTAGTATGGCAGATTTTTGCTCAATGCATTATATACGGAAAAAAAAGATTAAAAAATATCGACTCGAAATAATTTCTTCCTTATTTGGTTATATCTTTTAATGTGTCCTGGATCGGAATGCACTTTTTTTGTTACAAAATGACGAAAAGTTGATGGTTCCTTCTAAGTATGAATATCTGAAGCGAAGCTTCATTACAGTGATACAGAAAAATGTGGTAAAAGAGCTTAAAAGGTCTTTATCAAGTATAAAATTAGAAAGATTTACCATTTTACCAGATTTCGTCCTCACTTACGTGATGGTATGGAACTTGTACTTTCAGTTCCTAAAATGGTTCTTTTTGAAGTTGAAAATCACATAATAGATAGAATTTAGAAAAATTGGACGACACCAGTGGGAAAAATGCTATTGTTTTGGCCTGGGGAAATACTATTATGGAACAACATAATGGACATAACATGATGAGAATATCCTCAAACGGTCACGTCACCATTAATTCACGTATTAAGTGGAGAGCATTTC